GTTTTGTCTAACAAACAGTCCAAATTCACTTTAAGACAAGCAGCTAATGCTCACATTTAAAAAGCTTAAACCAGAAAATATTTTGCAAATTTTTCTCAAAAGTAACTCAAATGATTTATCAATTATCAAAACAGTAGCCAGTTAATTTCCTAGGGATTGACTAATCAACCAGACTAATTATTTCAGCTCTAATCCTCTTCATTACCAGTATCAGACTTTCAATTTTGTTTCACTATGTAGATCATAATTTCAGAGTTTATCATCAGATTTTCTTTTTTACTGACTCACTACTATGTAACTTGAAGAGTTGAGGACACACCAGCAAACATGGCAGAGGTGGTGTTATCTAAACCAAAAGGAGGTCATCCTTTAAAATGAAAATACAAGATACACCAATCCCAGAGTTTACAGTACATATTGTTTTAAAAGGCCAGTGCGTAGCATCTAGCGGTGTAGTTGCAGACTCACTGGTTTCACCCTCCCTTTCCAAGTGCAAGGGGGAAACTATGGTGGCTGTGGAACGTGCGAAAAGTGCAGACTGCCCTTTCTAGAGCCAGTGTTCGGTTTATCCATTCTGGGCTACTATAGAAACAGGATTCGGTTCGACATGGCGACCTCCACGCAGATAAAAATAGCTAATTCCATGGTAAAGCAAACACAACATTACTTATTTTCAGGTGATTAGACAGTAATGAACACATATATATGAATATTATATTCCATTTTTTCCAATAGAGCCTCCTTAATGTCACACACTACCTTTAGGAAAACTTTGATTACCACTTTTATTGTATCTCCAAAAATAAATCCAGAGAAAGAACATGTGCTGCACACAAACGTAGATTTAGGGCCAGAGCTTCTGTATGCTTGTATGGCCGTTTGTGAGAATAGTGTGAGTAATTATATTCAGTCAAAAGATTGTCCAAATTGGGTTTATTGTATTATGGGTTCTATTCAGTCAACCTCTTAACACTGCTGAGGGGCGTCTGCGTGACTAGAGTGTCTCTGTGACTGTAATTGGTGGACTAACCTGGGTGCTGTACGAGGCCTTGGTGGCCCACTGCGGATGGCGTGTTGGCATTCAGGTTGACGTGAGCTCCAAAGCCCGGGAGTGCTGTGGTTACCAGATGGCCGTGGCAACAGTCTTCAGTCCTTCCACTCACCTGGCTGAGTAAAGACTTCCTCTAACCCAGTGCCCACAGGAAATGGTCTCCACAGCACGTCTGCCTTCTTTGCTTCTGCCAAGACTCTTGCTTCCATCCTCCGCTTGTGTCTCTGAAGTCTGTTTCAGTGAGGAAAAAAAGAGGACACTGATTTGGGCCACAGAGGCTATGAGGGATTGCTCAAAACAAGATGGCAAGATAGAGAAATGTGATGTTCCTACTTAAACTTCTGCCAGGTTGTCATCCTTATATGTGACAGGCTGTTGTGGAATGACTAATGTGGCTTTTTTATGGCCACTCTGTAAACAGTTCACTGCTACTGTCCAAGTTTCAGTCCATTTCTATGGGAGAGTCTCTTCAGATATACTACTGTCCTTTTGAAAGGTTTTATCTTTGTTATGCTATTCAGAGAAGACTTCTTCCTCTAAAGGATTATTCAAATTCATTCTTTGGATGTTTTCCATGTTTTGTGGAGCAAGACTCTAACAAGTTAGCCCCCGGGTATAGAGCAAAACTTGTGGCATATTCTCAGCCAATGCATAAATGCATATCATTAATGTATTTGTGTGTTTTATTGATTTATGTTGATTTATGGTACTGGAAGTACAGTATGTAGGAGAGGGGGTTTTTTTCGGTTTTTTTTGTTTGTTTTTGCTTCAGGGTAGAGTAAAGAAGTGAAACTCTAGCATGACAGTGGAACAGTGTGCAGCAATGTGTAAAGTCAGCTTTTGGAATAGTTTGCAGATGAGAGCGACATTTAGTTTGTGCCTTTTCTTTCTTCACGCTTTTTGTTTTCTCTGCTTCTATCCCCTCATCTCCTTCCTGACAAAAGGTTACATAAAATCAATGGCAACCAAGCAAAATCAATAACGTCTGAACAGAGGTCCTCTCCCTTATTTATCTATCTGATTTGTTTGGCTTCACAGAGCACGTTAACCTTATCTAAAGGCATTCGGCAATGCTGAAAATACACTCAATCCTATTGATAGTGTATGCTAATGCAAAACCATAAGTTCAGGACTTGGCATCTTCTTTATAACTTTACATTCAATAAGGTTGCCACACTCCTCAAGTGGTACTAATGTAAACAACAGTGTGGGATGTAGAGTATTTATTCATTCCTCCATCTCAGCTGTCTGCCTCTCCTCTTTTTCACTTTATTCCAGTTCCTCCTGTTATCAGAGTGTACCCAGAGAGCCAAGCGAGGGAGCCGGGCGTCACTGCCAGCCTGCGCTGCCACGCTGAGGGCATTCCCAGCCCGCAGCTGGCCTGGCTGAAGAATGGCATGGACATCACAACCAAGCTGTCCAAACAGCTCACCCTGCAAGGTACAGATGAGCCAAGAGTTTACTGCTCACTGCATGTACAGCCGTACATTTCTATTCCCACTACTGCTACTTCCATTATTATTTTTACTACTACAGTTGCTCCCACAAATGCTGCGACTACCACTAAAAAAGGGTTCACTATATGACAATGACTACTATCACTCTTACTAATACTGCTACTGCTAATAATAATCAATCTTGTGTATAAAATGGGGCTGAGCGATACAACATAAAATCTCAAGATAAATGACCAGATCTACTTAAATAACAGTAAATGTAACATTCAGTGCAAGCATTTCCTTTTTAGGCTGTCTCGCTTCTGATGCTGGCCTGTTAGCTGATTGGTTGGCTGAACTTCTGGTCAGACATCAATGGTTATTTTTAGTTTAAATATGTTGGCTGATAACTGCAATATGAGAGGCTCATAATGTTGGTGTAAATTTGGTTTATTGTCTTGTCCCAGTATCATATTCTGTGGCATCGTTTTCAAGTTTTCTTCTTTCTCTTTCAATAAAAAGTAAAGTCAAATGCTTTTTCTTTGAGGTTGTACAGAAAAATGCTAAATCACAAACCTGTCCCAGTGCTCACACAAACACAGCATGTGCTACATTCTTACTTTCAACTCCTCCCTTTTTGAACAAACCTCTCACCTCCCTTTCTAACATAATAGAGAACTGTTATGTAACAGAGTAATGGTAGCGTGGAAGTCACTTTTTTATCTCTTTCTGGAGGGCAAACTGTCTTTTTTTTTGTCTGTTCCCTCTGTTGTTCCTTAAAGCTAATGGAAGTGAGGTGCACATCAGCAACGTGCACTTTGAAGACACCGGCGCCTATACCTGCATTGCCAAAAATGAGGCTGGTGTGGATGAGGACATCTCTTCGCTATTTGTGGAGGACTCTGCGCGAAAAACCTGTATGTATAAGTTATGATGCTGGACTCTGTTTTTATTCAAGGGATAATGGATCCAGCTCTTAATAATTTATCCTGTCAGTTCTTAATAGTTTATATCCTGCAATGATAGAGCCTCTGTGAGGGAAGTAATGGTGATACTATCTATACTCTCTTTGTCTCCTGGTTTGGAAGCAGGAACAATTGTTCATGCACCCCTCCATCCACTCAGGAAGACATTTTTTGTCTCTCATATTTTATTCTTTCTATGCTGGGATACACCAGGGCTGCGACTAAGAACGACAGGTCGATTAACTGAATTGTCAGTCACCAGAAAATAAATGTAATCTAAAAAATGCCAAACGTTCACTGTTTCTGCCACTCAAATGTTTGCTGCTTTTCTCATGTTTATATACTTAATAAATTAGATATCTTCTGGTTTTGTCTCATAAACAGTGCAAAACCCAAAGACATTCAATTTACAATGATTTGAATCAGAGCAAATCCTCAAATTTGTTGTGGTGAAACCAGTGAAGTTTTGTCATTTTGGCTTAATAAATTACAAAGGTGAATAGATTATAAAATGTGTTGTCATTTACTTTTTTGTCAATTGATTAATAGACTAATTGTTCAAGACTACCATCTCCGATATGTCCTCTCTATCATGCTCCACATCAGGGATTTTTGGCATGCGTACTAATTGATTAAGGTGGTATTTGACATTAGCCTAATGTTACAGTGACATATTGACAGTCGGCGGTCAATATGTCACTGTAACATTAGGATCGTGACACGAGCAACCTTCTTATTCAAATTTGGAAGAATTTTTTGACACAAACAAACTCCTGTTGTACCCTTCCCGTGAATAGAGTCTCACACGGTAATTAACTTTGACCTTCTCATAAATGTCAGAATCTGTCTTTGGGGTTCGAGACCAGTTGTTAGTTTGTTGTACTTTCCTGTGGGTAATTAGAGTTCCCAAACAGCACACTTAGCAACTTTGCAGTCGAGTCACACATCTCTTGTGTACACTGCCCCACACCTCTGCCAGACCCGACGCGTTTAGATGTCATCCCCACGGTACCACACTTCCTCCACCCAGCCTGTCATGCATCAGAGGATCATGCTCTGCGAGGTCACAAGTCACTCGTGTGCTTTGAAGCTTTTGAAGCTGTACCGCGGGCCAAAATGGTACTAGGAGCTGGATATTGCAGACCCTTTTTAGAGTGTGCAACCCCACAGGACAGGAGTTCAAAGGGGCATCAGATGACAGCCAGACGTGGCTGCACTACTACATTATGAAAGGTAGACATAAAAAAAACAGACTTACTCTACTACGCTGCTGTCGTCTGGCATTAATATACTTGACCCCTAGTTTTCCTATGAGAATGCTATTTTCATTCAGAAACTAGTTAAGTGAGACTTAATATCTTACCTGGATACTACCTGGAATTATTAAATATATATAGATATATAAAATATATATATATATAAAAATAAATAAATCTTGTCACTATGTCCCAAAAAACTCTAACTCTATCAGAAAAGACTATCTCATCAAGTCTAAGTTAATATATAACTGCAGTCCCATTTCCATGGTAAAGAAGGAACCAATGGTTCATGTGTTTTTGTATGTCGTTGTGCAGCATATGTTGCCATCCTTTTTCCAGACTGTTTCCCTTGAACAATAAAATTAAATAATTATGTCGCTTTTTGAACCAATGCACCTGTAGTCTTGATCACAAGTGATTTAGTCTCTTTGGAGTTCTGTTATTGTCTCGTGCTGCTTTAAAATTTTACATATCAAAGAAAAAAGAAACTTATTTTCAGGTCTCTGACAGTTGAACAATGTTGCTAATTACCTATGATTTCTTACAGGAGATTTCACACTGCCTGCCTCCTGTTATTATTTTAAGTATAGAACATAGGGTGATAACAATAACAAAGAATGAACTCAGTATCTCCTTGAGTCAGAACTAGATCGATCAGTACAACCAAAACCAGACATGTTTCACACTATTCTACTGTCTTCTTCACATAGAAAGCACAAGAGGTCTAGCAAAAGAGACAGAGAGAGTGTAATTACTTTAATAGTCACAAAAGGTTTGGCAGGTCAAATTTATTTCTTAAGTGCTTTAGTAATCTAAAGTGCTTTTAACACGGGTCCATCACAAAGTACTTTACAGCAAATGACCGTGTGTATGAGGGAACAAAGAGAGGTGTAACAAGGATCGTAGATTGTAAACTATTTAACAAGTTGCGTCCACTTTGTCTGTCTGAAGACTTTTAAGCTTGTTGAAAAATGCTCACGAATGTCCAGTGTTTAAAAATCTCTCTTTTCCTCTTCAAAATATATTTTTCAGTGTGTGAAAAACATTTATCAATAATTGTGAGGTAAATATTTGATCTTAATTAACTACAGCTGCATGAAGGTGCGAAGATGGTTGATCTAGATACATTTTTCCAACATATAAAATCTATGAAAACCGGAGTGGTAAGGAGAGAAACTGACTAATATTAGAGATATAGAGTGCAGCCTTGGTTATGGCTTTGCAGCTACTCATATAAGAATGTGAAACAAATAAACATAAAACTCATTAAATCTGTGAGAAGGCTGTGGGTTTGCGTTTTGACCCTGTCTTGTCATTTGCATTATCTTGGCATTTGATTAACCACTGGAGATGGACAGATATTTTTATTGGGCTCTCCAATAAGGGGGCGGCTGGATGATATTTTCTTCGGAAAGCTGCCAGCTGCCGTCAATTCATCAGTGTTTAAGGCCAGAAGAGAGCAACGAGGAGAGTCTAAGCTGCTCATGTGCATTGTGATGCTCAGTGTTAACACAGCTCACAAGTTCATCAGGCACAAATGTCACTGCAGCCGTTTTTACCTGAACAAGTTTTTCCTGTTAGTGGATATTAATGTGTTTAAGAAGCAGCTGTTATTACAGCAAATATAAAATTAGTGCAAATAGATGATCTAGCAATGAATGTTCAGAGTATTTCGGGCTGTTCATTTAGCTGAATTCATTGGATGTGTTACTTTTAACAACACAGGCTCCGTCTGTAGGTCATACACATCCTGCTGTGAGATGCTGGCACACTGCTCTGCTTCAGATTCTCTGAGATTCGCACTGAAATACTTTGTGCACATTTTCCCCACACTCAATGTAGTTATGTTCTTCACATATTCAAACATTTGAATTGTTTGATTAAAAAACCCTATTCTGTCAATTCATGCAAATGTATTCTACACATTTGAAAGCGATGAAGCACGTAAGTATAATTCTCAAAACATATTTTTCTCATTAATAATAAACATAGTAAGAGAAAATAAAAGATTTTTCAAAAAGCCTTGGAAAATAAATATCAAATAGAACAAATACAAATATATTATGAAAAAATATGTACAGAATCAGTTTTTATGCAGGAATGTGCACAATGTGTAAAATATTGACCGAGGGCTTATTCATTCAGTATTATCCCATCATGGATTACCAAATGAATGTTTTTCTTTGTCAAGTTAACCTAACCAAAGAACAGAATGAGGAAGACCGTTTCCAGGTCACCTATTAATTAGTCTTTTTCTTCAAGCACTGCCTAATGCGGTTTATTCAGGATCTGCACTCAGGGTTTACAGTAACAAGTTCCATAATCACACAACCCTGGAAAATCTTTATTTATGCATTTAAGTATATTTTATATTTTATATATAGTATGGAACTTTAATCTATTGTTATTCCTGTCTTCCCCATCAATATACTGCCACAATTCTGGTCTTTCATGTCCCTGAGCTACCTTCTTGAAAATGGCAATGATGAGGCAGAGGTAACATGCATGTGTAAAACCTCAGTGGAGAAGCAGATGCCATCACAGCAACTGAAATCAAATTAGAATGAACTTTTGTATTAGTAATGCTGTTGATTGACAGAGCCAGAAACATTAGAAGTTAGGTAAGATAGACTTCACCTATTCTAGTTATCATCCTTCTGTCTCATTACCAAGAACCTTGTTTCACTCAGAGTGTTTACATGCACTTAAATAATTACTTAAATATCATGTAAACAAGTAGCCTTGATATTGCGGAAGGGGATTAGGGAAACCTGATTTCTCCTGGAGAATGACAATCATTTTGGCCATGTCTATGGTAATCGGGTTTCTAAACAGCTTTTTACATGTACAGTTCAGTACTTATGAGAAGAGTTATTTCATGTAGCACTTGTTCCATGTAATACCTCCATCCAAAGTCAGTCCTCTCACTGCGTTCCCTCTCTGCTCCAATTATAATCTGTAAATATTCACTGTACAAGTGGCTGTAGGTGCTGCTGATGCGTGACATCCTTTAAGAAGGAAACCTACAGGCTGACTACAGGGACACATATGACCAAATCTCTACTGCAACATCTAAACATTAAATTGAACGTAGGATCATGAACAACATAAAGTATTGGTATATAATCATCATACCAAAAGATCCAACAAACAGATGTCCTTATAACCCCCAAAAAAAGCTTTAAAATACTTCCATCTGTCAGAGGATTTTCAACATATTTGTTACTATTTTGTCCCACTACTTTATTTTCAAGCATTAGTCCTGGTTTTCCAGCTTTTGCAGTAAGCACTCAATGTTGACAAGTACTGACTTAATTGTCTTCAGGCTCAGGTTACAGATTTGCACATTATTAAAACGGGTGGCATTCGCATTTAAGTAGCTGAATCAAGGACTCTTTCAAACACACAGAAGTTGAGATGCTGGTGGGCATGTTGTGGCACCAGACTACCCTTGATCTAATACCATTGATCTGAAACAGACACAGATTCAAATGACACATTGTGATTATACTTGGAAATGTTTTAGAAATCTGACTTTGTGGAAAAGTAATGATCTCATTCTGTGAGAGCAATGTGTTTATGACCTGCCTTAGGGTTCTTATTCAGGCACTCGAATAAGTGAGAGAACTGAATAACTAACTAAGCCAGTTGTCAAAGGGCTGAATAAGGTATTAAGCAGGAGATGAAGTGAAA